TGCCTCCCCAGCCATAAAGCCCCACTTCTTCAACCTGCATCCTCCAGCTGCAACCCTTTGCCTGGCATCAGGAATGAACAGGGGAGGGCATCTCTGAGCCGTCTCGGTAGCCAAGGCTGGGCAGAACCAGTATGGAGTCCAGAGACGCACCATGCTGAAAGGCTTGTAGGACAGTGTGGAGAGTCCACCCAGAGAACTGGGCCCCACAGTGAGCTCTGCAGGGGACTGTGTGAGGAAGTGGAGATGGGGAAGTTACGCACATCTAAGAATTAAGAGCTGGAACCTTAGCAGTATTTCCATTGTTGCCTGTCCTCAGCTGACCCATAGAAAAGAGCTGGTAATCATCAGCCTATCCCCTGAGCATTGGGTATATCAGGCTTTCAATAGAACCCTTGATGGTCAAACCACTTGCACTGCATCTTGCCAGCCTCAGACTCGAGCATCTGTGTAGGAAAACATGGGAAGCCCAAGACCCCATTTCTAGTTGTCAACTGAGAACACAAGGCAGTTTTAGAACTGAACCATGACCACAGGGGAGGTGGCCTCCGGCTGGCGTAGCCTTTCTCCCTCAGTACCAACATGTAAGTCTCTGTGGTATGGGTAGTGGTGCCATGTGACTTTGCAGAGAGTCCACTCCTAGTAGGGTAGTGTGTGGACTGTGCTGCCTTTAAGTGGCATCTGAGGAGTTTGAAACGTTCAGATGTTGCAGGTTAAAAACTGTTCCAGGATTGCAAGTTTGGCATGTTAAGGATCAGTGGGAGATTTCTCTGGGGATTTGGAGCAATTGAAAAGATCGACTACCTCTCTATAGACAAGTTTTAATAAGGCTGAAAATAAAATGCTCGCTCTCTCTCTCTCTCTCTCCGCCTTTTACAGCAGTGGAGATCCAAAGCACCCCCCTGTAGTTTCAATAATTCGAACTTCAGCTTGATTCCGCCAAATTGGCCTGAAATTCACCTGCAAAAGTTCACGAGGCTAAATGGAATTCAGAACAAACTCCTCTTGTTTCCAAACTCATGTATAATGCAGCAAGGGGACTTTGCTCAAAAGCAGCTGCAGCTTGCTGCTAAATTCACGACGACGTTCCAAAAGGGAAGAGCAACGACAAGGGGAAAACTGACAGTGCAGCAAAGAGAGGCTGGGGAAGGAGGGAAAAGAACACAGACACTAAGGTTTACTTTTTTATCTATTATTATTATTATTGTTATCCAAACTACAGCCCGCGGGCCGCTTCCAGCCTGTCAGACATTTTTATCTGGCCCTCAAGCTCCCACGGGAGAGCAGGCTCGGGGGCTTGCCCCACTCCGGTGCTCCAGCTGGGGAGCGGGGTCGGGAGCTTGCCCCACTTCGGGGCTCCAGCTGGGGAGCGGAGTCGGGAGCTTGCCCTGCTCCAGCACTCTAGCCAGGGTGTGGGATCGGGGGCTTGCCCCGCTCCACCCGCCCAGCACTCCCCAGCCCCCGACTCACAATTCCCTTGATGAGCACCATCTTCCGGCACGCAGAGCCACACTGCGCAGGCGCGACTTCACTGCGCTGTTTCCAGGATCGGAACCCCGCCCCTAGGCGGCAGCCCCACCCCCTACGCGGCAGCACGCCCAATCCCCTCCCGGTCTCCTATGGCCCCACCCTCGAGAGCCTGGAAACCACCCAGGGCCGCACCCGTCCCAGCTGAGTACCTTTGCCAGGGGCAGTGCCGAGTACGGCCGTCTTGGTGTCACTGCCGGCAGGGCCCCTAGGAGTCCCTGGTACCGCCACCGTAGAGCCCCCCTTTCCCCCCCCCCGCACCACACCCTATGAGTCTCCCCTCCCCCCACCTCGGTAACATCCCTTATAGAGCCCCCCCCCATGCTACACCCCATAGAGTCTCCCTCCCCCACTGGGCATATAGTTTCCATACCCAGGCCAAAAAGTTTGCCCACCCCTGGTCTAAATCAATTGGGAACATGGGAACAGAGGCACAGGGAGGGGAAGTGACATGCTAAAGATAACAACAGTCAGTCTGGAGAGAATCAACACTTCTTCTTGCAGCCCTCTCAGCAAACATTTCGCATCAGCAACGTATCCTCTAGACTCACTTAAACTTACTTAGAGTCCCCCAGACTTACTTAGCCTCTCACCCACTTACCAACATGGCACTTACACTCCCTCCAACAGAGCTACACCACTGCAGACTCCAGCCGTCCATATTTGGTCCACATTCTGCAGTCCCACTGTAACTCAAGCAGAATACCAAGCAGTTTCACTGGGAACTTGACCTGAGAAAGGACGGGGTAAGGACTGTGGGATTTGTCCCTCTGGAATCTGCAAATCCTGAAGACATTCATAATATAAATTATTATGGCCAGATCCTGCCCAATCACCTTCCTACTCACTATGGTCCCTTTGCACCACTCCACAACACTGCCAAAAGTGGAGGGTGTTGCCAGAACATGACAACTACCTTAGTACTTCTCTAGCGGGAACAGGGAGTGCATTTAGGGTCTGATCCAAATTACAGCAGGAGACCGTCCTGTGTTTTCATGCTCCCATTGAAGTCAGTGGGAATCTTTCTACTGACTTCAGGGGGTATTGGGTCAGACCCATAGAGCTTAGAACATATATGACAGGATGCCACCGTTGTATGCAACAATACATCAGCAGCCTCCATATAATATCCATCACACTTTACAGCCCCATGTACAGCTATACCCGTCCTCCCTTATCTACTGGCCCATTTGTCTTAGGAGTCAGACACTAACAAACACCTAGGTTGTTATTGATTCACTACTGAACATGTTGAATTGTTAAACCTACTCATGAATTCCACTACTGATCTGAGATCTCAAACAGCCTTTCTTTCTTTCTTTCTTTCTTTCTTTCTTTATTTCTTTATTTCTTTCTTTCTTTCAGTGGTGTCATTTTTTTTTTAAGCATTTGATTTCATCTTTCAGTTTTCTGGAACAAGAGTAGCTCAAAAGCATTGAATGCCCATTTCTAAATGATAACTGCTTAGAGAGAAATGGTATCTTTTATTTGAAGGATCCCAAAGAACCTTATTACACAGATAAATATGTTGTAACAAAAAAAAAAGAAACCTACATAAAAAGAAGGATAATGTTGCAAAGTCAGGGTGGAAAAGTTAGGCAATGCCAGAATTAAGGTGACTCAGGCAATTTTTCCCAGTTGTATGTCTGTATGTGTTATGATACAGTCTTTAATTACATGACCACATAACATTTTCCCATACTGATTAGACTATTGGTTACAGACAAAAAGGCAAGCACAAAGATTTGGCACATTCATTCTGAAAGGCATCAGTGTCTCAAATTGGGCACCCAAAACCAGTGATCAACTTGAAAATCTTGGTCTGCCTGGTGGCAGGCTTCAGTATTAGAACCTATAGAAATCCAGCTTGTGGGGTTTTTTTTCCCACCCATTCTTTGAGGCAGTCAGTGTGTTGTCATTGTCGTCTTGGTCTAGGGTGTCCACCACTAATCACATTTGCGAGTTTGGTAGGTAGGTTGGGGTTGGCAAATGACAGAATGTGCTTAGCGATATAAGGCGGCTGAAAGTGAAGACAAACATGGCAGAGCTCATTTTAATGTAAACTTGTGAGAACCCAGAATGCTGCATTTATGCTTCTTCATGGAACATTCTCTCTCTCTCTGTCCCTCTATTTCCTGCAACATTTGCTGCATTACAGTTAATGGAATTTATGAGAACGACTTGTAATTCTCCAAAACTGCCGTGTGCGGTCATTTTAGCTGGCGCAATGTGAATTATGCAATAACCCATTGCCTTAATTAAAACAAATTGCGTTTACTGTATCAGTCTGTACTATAAATCACTCCCCAGGGCCCCTCTTCCAGGTTTCTACGTGGCCTGTTCTTGAGAAATGTTGACAGTAGTCTCCATTACCACAAACATTTTTGAGCATTTTTTTTTTAATCTCCTTCCCCGCTTTACAATCTTTGAGCTCCCTGCCCTGATCTACAAAACAAATCCCATCCAAGGGGTAACAGCAGAGTGGCGTGAAATCGATAAAATGCACCATTCCCCTTTACTCTCCTTTTTCTTGTAACACGCACATCTGTAGAGAGCCACGTTGGGGCGGCAAAGTGTATTAATTGCAGTAATGATAACAATAAAAGGACAAACAGAAATCTGCGGACTAATTGTTTTCAACCCAAGCTAGGAGGTACCAGAGATTCCTCACACCAGACACCATAATTAGAGTGGACAACAAGACAACCAGATTATTAGTCCTTTGTGTAGATCCTGTTTAATAAAGAGAAGGACCACTGGGTATTTATATTCATTTGAGCTCAGAGCAGCTTAAAAGGAAGCGTTAAATACACCATGTCGTACTACAGGATGGAGTAAACTGGCACCTAATTTAGAACCTAATCCAAAGCCCACTGAAGTTAGTAGAAAGACTTTCTGTACTTCACTGGGATTTGGAAAAGGCCCTTATGAGCCCAGTTCAGCAAAAAAACCCTATTCAGCCAAGCATTTAAGTTCCATGGATTTAAAATTAAGCACATTCTTAGGTGATTTGTTGAAGAGGGATATAGTTAAGTACATGTTCAAGTACCTTGCTTAGGGTGACCATATTTTCCCAAAGGGAAAATGGGACATCCCTGGGCCAGCCTGAACCACCCCATCCCCACACAGAGCCAGCCCAAGTAGGGTTGCCAATTTTGGCTGGACATAATCTTTAATTAAAGATTAATCTGTAATTCCTGGAGACTCCAGGACAATCCTGGAGAGTTGCCAACCATAGGCCCAAGCACTCCCTGCCTTCCGCCGGCACGGAGCTGGACTGAGGTCCTCCTTCCCTCAGGGCCGGCCCCAGCCCCCCCCCTTCCCCCGGTGTGTGGGGCTGGTCCTCAAAGCCCTCCCGCTGCCTGCCCGTGACCCTCCCTCCCTCCCACATGGCCCTCTTTCCCCCCCACGCACAGGGCTGGTCCTCTGAGTCCCCCTGTTGCCCACCTGCCCATGTGTGGGACTAGTCGTCTGAGCCCCCTGCCCGTGCGTGGGACCACCCGAGGCCCCCCTCTCTCCCCTGCACACGGGGTGGGCCGGCTGGCCAGAGCCGCTTTCCCTAGCCCTCCCTCCAGCGCAGGGCTGCTGTTGCCACTCGCTCCTTCCCCTGCATGTTCCTCCGTGCCCCGCTAGGGGTCCCACCCCACCCCATCAGCTGGCAAGAGCTAATGGGACAAATGCCCAGTTTTGTCAAAAAAGTCAGGATGGCCGAGACAGGGCCTTAAAAAAAGGGACCGTCCCATCCAAAACGGGACGTCTGGTCACCCTAACCTTGCTGAACTCGAGTCTTGATCCCCAGTATGTAGGTTTAGGGCTTCATCCTTGTCTCATTTATGTTGTTGTAAATCAGGAGGGGCCTCCATTGAATGCAGCATAATTCCATCGGGTGAAACTAAAGGCTTGTCTATGTGGAGGTTTCATGCACAGCAAGCCGGGCTGTGAATCTGTAGCACACCAGCAGACCCTGCTTCCGCACACTGAAAGGTTTGCAGTGCCCTTTGATGTATTTGCTTTTCACCCAGCAAAGTGCACTACAGAACTTTTAATGTCCGCATAGCCAGTTAGTGCACGGCAATCTAGATTACAGAGGCTTGCCACGCATTAGCTCTCTGTGTAGACAAAGCCCTTAGGATGGGCTAAAGCAAATCCATTTGGAAGTTTCAAGGGAATGTTCAACATCTTTTGAAGGATCCACTTAACTCTAGCCATGATTTTGGATGCTGAATGTTTTACAAAAGTTTATGAGCCAAGGTGATCATTTTGTGTCTTAAAGGATGTGGCAACTCAAGTTACTTGAAAGTGTCTGAAACCTTGTCATCAATAACCTAAGCAGCAGGGTCACTGAACATAAAATCAGCCCCCAGCGCCTGATTGAAAGTCCACTGAAGCTAACAGAAAGAGATCCAATCAATGGGCTTTGCATCAGGCTCATAGAGACAAACCTAAACTGAATAAATCTGCATGTTTATTTTCCTCTTGATAGGTACAAAATCATAAACCAGACAGGATTTTCTGCAGGCATTATAATGCCTCCACACTTGTTGTGAAGATTAACTGGCTTAAATACTGAGATGATAAACATGTCAATATGTGTTTTCTTTGCTTAAAAGTTAAATGAAGAGGTGATTGGAAATGTCATCGTTTCAGCTATTCCCGTAGTCAATCAGCCAAAATAAACTGGGTGATTATTAGTATTGAATATATTATTTGAAAGCAGACAAGCTGAAAAACTCTCAAACATGTTTAGAACATTTCAAAAATATCTGTATTACTTTTGCCTACATATTTGATTATTCTTGTGTTGTACTTGATTACTTAGTTTGTTAAATACCAAAAAAAAAAAAAATACTTTGATTGATGCGGTATTACGGATGGAATGTTAAATGCAGAAAGGTCAGGAAATTCAAAGCAACAGAGCCAACAGCAAGTGTGACGTGTTTGCACATTCATATCTAGAAGGATATTTGCCCTCTCTGACTAATATGATCCCATTGTGCATGGCCAGTCTGTTGGTTTCCATCATGTCTAAGGTTTTCATTTCTCAACCAATTTGTATCACATTTAGCATGCATATCTCACAGAGGCCTGTGTACACGGTAAGCACACGGTTTTCCATCCAAACAACGTTTGAATGATCTGAGCACAAAAATAAGCAGCTGACTCTCTTGTTAATGGCAAAACCCCAGTGGTTTTTCAAACTCAGAGAACTCAAAAATGGCCAAAGAGATTATCTTCCAACTTTCCAAATAAATTCACTTTTGGACTGTGAATAAGAAAGCGTGAGAAAATTTCAGCCCCCAAAGGTAATTTTGGGGAAAATGATAAACCACTGAAAATAGCCGTGTATAATGAAAATGTCATCTCCACCATAAAAGGTACCTCAATGCACTGAACAGCCACCGGAAAACATGATTGAAAGGGAGTTTAGAGATATTGCTAATGGCTTCAACATAAGGAGTGTGGCTATAAAAGATGAGAGGATGCCTGGCGAAAACTGCCCACTGCAAATCTTTGAGGAGCGTCTAACTATCCAGGCGTGCAGGAAAGGCGTGATTGCTACCCAGATTGCCCATGCAAATCTGCTAAGACAGAGAGACCTTCAAACACGTCAGGAGTTTACTTCCTTTGAACATAGAGCAGTTTTTTCAGGTTTTTTATGACCAATGCACATGGGGAGGGGACGTTGGCTAGTAGTTAGAGTAGGAGACTTGATTGCTGGGAGAAAGGACCACTGGGTACTATCCCTGGCTCTGAAGGATAATGTGGTCTACCGGAACTAGGCATCAGGGCTCCTGAATTCTATTCCTGGCTCTACAACTGACTTTCTGCGTTCCCGGAGGCAAGACTCTTTGCATCTCAATCTACCCTTCTCTAAAACGGGTATAAATAATGCTATCCCCAACTTAGCTGAGGTATTTTGTGGCTTAATTAACATTTGCGAAATACTCAGAGAACCTCTGAAAGACATTGCATAATTGTAAGGTAACAGTGGCAGCTGCACAAAATGACTTGCATCTGTTTTACAATGTCTGCCCCTTATGACATATGCAGGGAGAGGAATGGGAGTCGTTTTATTCAGGGCCAGTCAAGAAGCTTTCCTTGAGCACATTTAGTTAGCACTAGAGAGGCTAAGTTCTGATCTGGAGCTACCTTTTGAATGTCTTACGGTTCAGAGGATGTTCCAGCCATGTGATAATGGGAGAGTATCACAGAAAGAGTGGCTTTCTTCTACCTCTCTCCAAGGAGCTTTATTAAAATAAGAATATGGAAAACAGTCTGATTCCTAAAGCTACAGTCTCACTTCACTTCTCCCTAGAACCTTTCTCAGCCTCTCCTCCTCACTGGCTGCCTTCTATAGATTTAAAGAAACAGTACATTCATCCCTGTTTTGGACTTGCAAACCCCGCCCAAAGTTCCCAGTTGGTCAAATCTGGGAGTTTGGATAGGTTTGGCGCTATCTAACAGTAGTCTGAGAAACACTCTTCTTCCTGATCACGTTTCTTAAATATCTCAAATATCTATCCTGAGCATGTATCTTAAATATCTCAAATATCGTCATGCAGAACCTATCCCGTCCTGTGCTCAGACTCCTTGGATCATGCAGTCAGTACGGCCAGTCTCAAGCATTCAAAACTCATGAGCCAGGCCTCAAAAAATCATGTGTTTTAACAATGGATTTTGGGGAGGAGGGGTATCTGTTTTCTGCTTTCAGAGCCTGTAGGGCATTTTTGGGTCAAGTTTACATAACCGGCAACCACTAGGGCTAGAAACCTACATTTCTTTTTACTGAGAGCTGAGAGTCTCATGTAATCCTATGACTCCAGGAGCAGGTGCTTTGAAGAAACATGAAATATCACAAGACATTTGATAAAACCTTGAGAGCCAACAACACGGTGTATTTCATGCATCCCATCAAATGCTCTACCCAGCTATACCGCTCATACTTAATCAATGAATTCCACATTTGCCCCTGTATTGCACATACCCATACCAACACTACCTTCTCCTCAGCTTCTTTCTAAAACGACATGAGGCGCCTAACTCCAGGAGAGGGTTTTCACAGCTGACAATTGCTGGCAGAGTTAGGTGCCTCCCTGCAGCCTGGACGTTGGTGCCGGTCTTTGTGAGGGGCAGGGCTGTGGTCGGCATGTCCCATTGGCTGGCTTAGGCAGCTCCCCATCTAGTGTGCTGGCTTTTGCAACTTGCAGGCTAAGGCACCTGTCTCTCACCATCAGGGCCGGCTCCAGCATTTCTGCCGCCCCAAGCAAAAAAGAAAAAAGCCGCGATCGGCGGCGGCAGTTCAGCGGCAGGTCCTGCACTCCTAGAGGGAGTGAGGGACCTGCCGCCCCCGAATTGCCACAGGTGCCGCCCCTCTCCCTTGGCCGCCCCAAGCACCTGCTTGTTAAGCTGGTGCCTGGAGCCGGCCCTGCTCACCATTCATTGTACTGGGAGTTGAGGCACCTAACTCAGCTTTGTGAATCACCGTGGTTTTCTAGGCGTCTAAAGGTTAGGTGTTCCAACCCTCAGCGTCACAATGCCCAACTCCTTTTGTGCACCCGGGCCTAGAGAGATAGGTAACAGAGGAGATGCATAGGAAGCATGCGGCAGACTTTTATTTCACACCCTCTCCTCCTTGTTTCCCATAAGCATCCCCCGGGGACTTCCGCTTTGCTAATGCTCCAGCATCCGGAACTCAATCCATTTTCAAAGACTGTCCTGCTGCCATCGTGACTTAACCCAAGTTCGCAAGCCGCTCTCCTGGGGTGCAGGTGGGAGACTATTGAGTGCATAGAATTCCACGCCAAGAAATAAGTGGTGTTAACCACCAGAGAGACTCTAGTTGTGGATTTTCTGATAACAGCTCAACTTAAGGTCAGTCCTTAACAAAAATAAATTGGAAGAAATCTATCTGACTCATTTGCTTTACTGCTCCCACAATTTCTGATTCTTGAGCTCGCTCCCCATGACTTCCTCCCTTTCCTCTCGTGCTCTCCTTCCTGTGATATGATAATGTCACTAATGGGAAAATGCTGTATAAGGTATTTTTCCCAGACTGGATTCAGAGCAGGGCGAGTTCTTTTCTTGCTAAAAACAAAGTCTCAGAATAAAGTAGAAAAGGTTCTTTAGGCACAGGGAGTGTTAAGCTACTGGTTAGAGCAGGGCACCAAGGGTTCTGGAATCCTATTCCCACTGATCTTGAGCATATGATAATAATAATTAGTTGCTGGCTTCTATATAATACTTCTTCATCAGTAGATCACATAATACCTGCCTAAGATGGGCGCTGGAAGAACTGTTGACTCTTTATCAAGTGAAGCAACTTTAACCAAGGGTGCATTCTCCATAACTGGCAGATATGCTGTACTTAGCAAATGTATAACTTAACGCAGATGCTGTAGTTCAAACATGAATTATTTTGGGGAAGTCCTATGGCCTGTTATAGACTAGATGATCACACTGGTCCCTTCTGGCCTTGGAATCTGTGA